TCAACTGCGATTATTATGACTAATTCACAGTCCTCTTGGGAAGTGGCTCTAGCGGAAACTCTGGGTCAACAGATTTCAGCTATGTGTGTTGATACAGCCCTACTAACTCAATGGCCCCGAGCACCTGCCCGTTAGAGCCTTTTATCAGAGTTTCAGCTCTTTAAGTCTGAACAAGGTATAAATGGAGCAGCAGGGAGACACAAATCTTTTTAATTGGTTTGCATTGCCATTTCAATTCCTTTGGTTGTGAACTGCACATCCCAGAGAACACCACTTACTCTTCTTTCCTCTTTTAGCAAGTCTGCACATAAATCCTATTAAAAAGATCAGTTACCTTACTGGAAATACATCTTACCTTCATGATCTAAATCAACCACTTGACTCAGATCATCTGTGAAAGATTTGGATGAGTCAGGCATTTATTTCAGTCTGTGCAGACACATATTTCACAGTGTATGTGGAACAAGGCTGGTTTCATCGCTGCCTGACAGGGGGAGGGGGTTGGACTTTCTCTGTTTAGGATTTGAACTCTCCATCATCACATGCGGCTCTTCAAGCTGAGAGACCAATCGGGTGTCCCAAAACACTGAACATGGAGGGTCCACTCCTCTAGCCACTGATGGCCTGAAGTGATCTGACCACCACAGCAAACTCCCCACTTGGTGGCAGATGCATCATCTACTGTCATCATCTTCATCAGGGACAGGAGGGTGTTCCCTGGAAGGTGTTAGCTCTGCTCAGCCACTGCCACAGAAAGATCTTCACATACTGAAAAGCAACTGCACATCTGCTGAGGAGCTAGCACAGGCAATAAACCATATACAGCCACAGCTAGAGAGCTCAACAGCAAAGGTTGGTAGTATGCATCATGAATGTGAATGCTGCCACATGGCCAAGACAGGGCCAGCAGTGCCACAGAGTGAGCAGCTGAGTGAAGCACACACCACACCAATACAGACAGACCCCATGCGCTAACAAGACATCAATATGCCTCCACTGATCGAGGGTGCAGGACTGCCACAACAGAGACTGCAGACAGAGAAGACCCCAGTGTGTGATTTCTGAGCATTCACAAACAGGCCAGCATCCTCAGAAACAGTCACATGCAGAGCCTGGAGGCTTGTCCCGTTAGATTTTATTGACCAGCCATCAGAAGGCAGAACAGAAACAAACCTCTGGGACAAAGGTAAGCTGCAAAATTTTAAATGGAAGCATTTGCACACATTGCCTAGTTGCTCACTCACTACAGACCTTATCACTCTTTCTCCTCTGTCCAAATAACTGTCCATACACAGTTGCTCCTCTGTCTTCCGCAGCCAGAATGCCCTTATCTTGAGCCACAAGCTTTTTGTCATATTTTTCTCCCCCTCCCCGTCCTGTTGAGCAGGAGAAGTGATAGAGTGGCTACCCAAGGTCAACCTATCACAGTATGGTTATTTATACAAATTATTATAGGAAATAGAAGTTGCGATTTTAAGTAATAATCGCCCTTTTGCACTTCCTACCTCCTGGCCTACTGATAATGAAATGCTTGCTTAACTGTTTTCTAAGCCTCTGTCTTGCAATGATACAGTTTACTTCTACAGCAGGTTTTTTTCTTCCTTTTTGTCTTTGGGATCACTTTGCAGCATTTATTGCAGGAGCTCAAATAGCTAAGTAGAGGGAATGGCTGTGTCCACTTGGGGAATGATTATGTGAGGCATTGTACCCACATTATCTGAGAGAGCAGAACTCCTAGGAAGGATGGGGACATGCCACAATGGCTGCTGAGCTGCTGAGCAAGCACTGCCACAGGCAGAAAAGAAAACGTCAGCACAGCTTAAAGCAGTCATTTGAAATGGGAAAATGAAATTACATTAACCCCCGCCAGTTAGAACTGTTGTGGCCTAAACCTGACTTACCTTAACTGACTTAAATAGAAAAAGGCCATTTTTATTAAGGACAGCACAAAGATTTAATATAATCTGACAAATAAATTTTGAGAGATAATTTAGATTATCTGCACAGATAGGAACATTTATAATTCCACCAGATGATAAAAGTTAAGAGCAAAGCTATACACATGAGCAGAAGGAAAAGATTTTGTACCCAAAGCTTGGGAAAAGACAGTACCTGCTGTACGCTGGAGTTGGCTGTGACACTGCCCAGCTGCTTGCGTAGCTCCTCGAGCTCCTGTAGAGATATCTTGGAAGTAGACGACGGAATGGAAAAATTTGTGCTGCCACTGGTTGCTGCATTTGCTGCAAGTTCTGCCCTTTCTTTAGCATTTTGTTGCAAATACTGGAGTGTCTGTACATACACAAAAAAGAAAAGATGTTGTGAACGCTGGTCAGCACACACTAAAGCAAAAAACATATGACCATAAGACGGTTGTGCTGAATCAGACCACAGGTCTTTCTGTCCCAGTTTCCTGTGTCTTAGTGGTTTATAGCAAGAGGAGTGTAATTCTCAGTAGTGCTTTAATAATTAAGTAAATGCTAGAACTGGTTATCTGTTGATTTCAACGCATTTCGCTGAACACTGTCATCAGAAAGCATCCTGTACTTAAAATAATTGCATTGTTGCTACTGCTGAATACTTATAACATATCCAGTTCTAAAGGAGAAACAAACCTCTTTGTCTTCTGTGAGTTTTGACAGTAGATAAACTAAAGAATCTAGATGTCTTGTATTTTTAGATTTCAGCTCATCGTACTTCTTTAAAAAATCTTCAGGAGTTCGAGAAAACTCTGCTATTTTTACCTGTAAAACACCACATTAATATTAAATGGTTAATGTATATTATTATCACAGCATTCAAAAGAGGAGCATCGTGCAAAGATGGAGACAAGGTGCCGGCTGCGGCTGCCACCGAAGTACTTCAGGGAATGGGTTTTGGACTGAATGCTGCAGCAGTGGTCTTCTACTAATAATTATGCTGGAAGAGAGTGAGGGTCCTGGCACTTCAGGTGATGGAGAAGGGACTGCAGGAGAGAAAAGATGAAGGTAAGCACAAGATCTGTAGCAGGGCTCACTTTGCGCACGCTCAGTCTGAAGCAATATAATTTTGTATCAGCAGGTTTATTAAGGGATTCTGGAACTGATGAAGCCACATCTGGACACTGGGTCCACTTTGGGGGCTCTACTAGCAAGAGAGACATCAACAAACTGGACTGAGCCCAGTGCAGAGCGATGGAGACGGTGAGGCATACTGCCCATTGCCCAAAGGGGTAACAGACCCTGCTTCGAGGGCACAGCAAAAGCACCACAGGCACTGCCACAAATTGCAACATGGAAAATCCCAACTAGCCCTAGGGAAACAGTCCTTTCTGGAGAGAGAGGTGACCCTGGGACACGGCCAGAGTGATGGAGGAATCTCCTGGAGATCTTCAAAACGCAGCTAAGCAGTCTGCTGTAGCTGTGATGCTGGCCCTGCTGTGAGCAAGGGGTTGGACTGCAGATCTCCAGCTGTGCCTCCTACTTAAATCTTTCTACAAGTCAGTGAACTGTAGCTGTCAGTATAAATGATGCTTAAGACTGGAATTAGAGAAAACATACAGTTCAAGCTACAAAGATCTGAACTTTCAGACAGAGTTGGCAATTTTCTAGCACTTATAGCTTGACTGATGGATTGCTTTTAAAAATGACAATGAAAACCAGTATTATGGCCACAGAAGCATACCCGGTCATGAGAGTGTCAGGCTTTAATCCCTAATACCTGGGAGATATTCAGAAAAAAAGTCAGCTATTGTTCATATAATCGCATTTCACACAGTTACTATTTTTCATTTGTTTTACTCCCCCAGAGGACAACCCCTCTAATTCAAATTTGAAACAACCATCACAGGCACAAAATCAGCTCCTTTTTTGAACTCCCTTCCCCCCCCACCAACAATCCTTCTCATGGTCTTTCACCAGTCTCTCCAAGATGCAAGGATTTTACCTTTTTCCTGATATAATCTTTCTACTTTGTACCCTAAACTGAGATTCCAGAGCAGATTACCCGATTTTTTTACCAATGCCAACATGATTTCACCGTTATTCTCAGAAAAACTTGGTACAGCCGCTACCCCTCCCAACACGTATCCAGCTCTGCACCCACAGAAGTCAAGTTATCTCACAGAATAGTAGAGTATGGAAAAGGTAGTTCACATCACTGGCCAAGAGAAATCACACTGAAGAATGTTTATCTTGAATTTCTCCTTAGGGAGGACTGTGCTCTCAGAGCCGATGGAATCTCTGTCAACGATTGCAAAGGAAGCATGCCACCTCAGGGGTCCTGCCGGCCGGCCCTCCCCCCCATAAGGTCTGAAACACATCTCAGCTGTGATTACAGTATGTCGAGACTTACCTTCGCGCTGTGCGCAGAGACAGTCGTGGTGACGTAAGGCGTTCGATTCTTCTGCAGAAGATCGATGTAGACTTCGGCTCCTTCCCCGCCGTGAACGCGCAGCAGGCTGAGCAACTCATTGACATCGTGGTGAATGCGGAACTCGCTCATACTCCCACCTGAGGCTACAAGCTCCGTGGGACGCAGAAACAAAGGTGGTAAGTTATTATTTTACTGCTGCAAATGAAAATATACCCGCACAAACAACATTTCCTGACTACGTTATAAGCCTGCAGGGTATGCTAAAATACTTGACTGGAACAAAGAAATACATGTGAGGGGAAGAAGCAAGCAAAACAGAGATACTCGTTATTGTGCCTGATTTAACTATACTGGTACAAACCCTACCTTAAACGTAGGTGAGCCAGCAGAGGATTTTTCAATCTCAAAACCACACCGGTGGTGGAAAAGTTACAGAGTCATCGTAAGAAGCGCTGGTTCATGTACTGCAGACACAGCTGAAATTGCTGGCTTCAGCAGCCCACCCACGCTGCAGCTTCTGAAGTTATTCAAAAGCAGTTTTTTCCAAGTTTAGGGAAACTTCTACTGCCCATTTTATTAACAGACGAGAACCAAATTCTGTGAAGTTACTTAGATGATGGCATCAGAATTAAGAGTCTGGTTGAGGCATCATGCAAGTACAGAGTTTAATGTGACACCCTGTAGAGACGCAGAACATCGAGCATATAGACACACTTTTGGTTTGCCAAAATCATTGAATCATTTAGGCCGGAACGGACCTCTGCAAGCCTCGGTCCAACTCTCCACCCACAACCGAGTCAAACTAGAGCAGGCTGCGCAGGGCCGTGTCCAGTCCAAGCTCAAATATCTCCGAAGATCCAGATTCCCCCACCACTCGGGGCCCTGACCCTCATGTGGAAACACCTTTTCCTAATATCCAGCTGGGATTTCCTCTGCTCGGAGGGGCACAGCGAGAGCCCCAGAGGCACCGGCACAAGCTGCAGCACGGGAAACCCCGGCCGGCCCCAAGGAAACAGCCCGTCCCTGTGCGAGCGGGGTGTCCCTGGGACGGGGCACCGAGCGGTGGGGGATCCCCAACCCCGGGGA